GCCACTGCACTCCAGTCTGGGCGACAGAGTGAGACTCCAACTCAAAAAAAAAGAAAACAACAACAACAACAAAAAAAACCACTACCTGGGCATGGCAGCACATGTCTGTGGTTCCAGCTACTTGGAAGGTTGAGACTGCGGTGGCTGTGATCATGCCTCTGCAGTCCAGCCTGGGCAAAAGAGTGAAATTCTGACACAAAAAAAAGAAAAAAGGAGAGCAGAGGTTACCAGGAACTATGGGGGGGGAGTGGGGAGTAAGTGTTTCGTGTTTCCTGGGTACAGAGTTCCTGCTGGGGTGATGATTTAAAAAGTTCTGAAAACAGATACTGATGACTGTTATACAACATTGTGACTGTAGCACCATGAGCCACTGATCTGCATACTTATCAATGAGGAAAATGATGGGTTTTATATGTATGTTTTACCACAATAAAATTTACGTATATATAGTTGAGTCAGGATCTCACTCTGTCACCCAGGCTGGAGTGCAGTGGCCCAATCACAGCTCACTGCAGCCTTGACCTCCTGGGCTCAAGTGATCCTCCTGCCTCAGCCTCCTGAGTAGCTGGGACTACAGGCATGCACCACCACACCCAGCTATTTTTTTTTTTTTTTTTTGGTAGAGTCTAGGTCTCATTATGCTGCCTAGTTTGGTCTTAAACTTCCAGACTCAAGCAATCTTCCTGTCTCGGTCTCCCAAAGTGCTGGAATTACAGCCATGAGCCACTGTGCCTGGTCACCAAATACAATATTTTTAAAAAGGAATAAAGTCCTATTATATGCTGCAACATGGATAAACCTTGAAAACGTGGCCGGGTGCGGTGGCTCAGCCTGTAATCCCAGCACTTTGGGAGACCGAGGCGAGAGGATTGCCTGAGCCTGGGGATTTGAGACCAAACTGGGCAACTTGGTGAGACCTCGTCTCTACAATAAATAAGAAAAAAAATTAGCCAGGTGTGGTAGTGCGCGCCTATAGTTCCAGCGACTTGGAAGGCTGAGGCGGAAGGATCGCCGGAGCCCAGCAGGTCGAGGCTGTGGTGGCTGTGGGCGTGCCACTGCACTCCAGCCTGGGCGACAGAGTGAGATTCTGACTCAAAAAAAAAAAAAAAGAAAAAGAAAACATTATGCTCAGTGAAAGGAGCCAGACACAAATCACTACATAATGAATGAGTGCATTTATATAAACTATCTAAAATATGCAAATCCACACAGCTGGAAGATAAACTGGTGATTACCAGGTGCTGGAGAAGGGGGAATTACAAATATTTTGGAACTAGATAGAGGTGATGGTTTCACAACATTATGGATGAACTCAGTGCCACTGGGTTGTACAGGTTAAAATGGTCAATTTTATGTGATGTGAACTTCATCTAAATTAAAATAATTATGTGCATGGGGCTGGTGTGGAGGGCATCCCACACAACTCCGAGTGTGTGATTCTACTGCACGGTTCTCCTCTGTGTCACCTCTCTCTCGGGGGGGTGTGTATGTGGGAGGGTGCACATGTGACCCGCACTGAGGGGTGAAGGGGAAAGAACTGCCTGAATGTTCCAAGGGAGGGCTGGGCTGTACAGAGCTTAGGATCTTTTGGGAAGATGGACACGTAAACAGTTGCAGAAGAGCCGGGCTCAGTGGCTCAGCCTGTAATCCCACGCCTTGGGAGGCTGAGGTGAGTGGATTGCCTGAGCCCACGGGTTTGAGACCTGCCTGGGCAACTTGGTGAGACCTCATCTCTACAATAAAT